TCAAAACAACGTTTGCATTTCTAGATTTAAAGCTTTCGTGACTTGCAAGGATCCGTACTCTTTGGTTCTGTTCGGTAAAGTCACGTAGTAGGTAAAAAAATAAAACGACGAAAATCACGACGTTTCGGCCACAACACAAGCGGCCTTCATCAGGTGAAGGGATCAGGCTGTCTCGCGCCAACCGGTATGTGCACCCGCACGTACACCACCTCTATGCTAAGTCGGCCAATCAAATGCTAATTTGTTATGCTAATTCCTTTGTCAAGGCACCTTGTTTCCTCGCACACAGCTTAAAGGTCCGCGGTCTGAGCGTGGCTGTGTTCCACTCCAGCGCTGTCCTCCAGACAACCTGGTCCCTTCACTTGATGAAGGCCGCTTGTGTTGTGGCCGAAACGTCGTGATTTTTGTTGTTTTATTTTTTTACCTACGTGACTTTACCGAATAGAACCAAAGAGTATGGATCCTTGCAGTCACGAAAGCTTCAAGTCTAGAATTACAAACGCAACGATGACGTTGACGCGAGATAACCCCGAGCAAAAAATATATATATATAAAACTCCACGCACGCAAAAGCCCCACTCGCTCACTTTTATACTTCAGGTAGAAGCTGCATCCGAAGTCGTTGACCCTCACTTTGCCGTCCGCGGTGAGCAGAATGTTGTCCTGGAACAAAGAGCAGAGACGGGGGAAGGGATTCCACGCTCGGAGGTTACGGCAGGAGCGTCCAGCCAGCAGTGGGTCGATCACGCGAGGTGACGCATTTACACCCACACGGGCAGCCCTCCCCCCCCCCCCCCCCCCCCCCCCACCCCGACTTGTGACACGGGCCACGTGCCTGAGACCCGTTCGAAGTCAATGAAGAATTAAAGCTTTCGTGACCGTGTAAATCGCTCGTTGTTTTTTTCCGGTAAAGTCACGTGTGTAGGAATACCGTAAAATTATATTGAAATAAATCAATCGCGACGTTTCGACGCGCAGCACAAGCGATCCTCATCAGGTGTAAAGTAAAAAAAACAAATCACGGAGGTAAAACAACAAGAATATGAGAGACGAGAATTCAACAAACCTAGGAAAAAACATTACGTGAAGCACAACCAGTCAGGTCAACAACACAGTTAGACACTTACCTGGTGGACCACGAATTTCAGAAGAGTGTTAAATTTCGTGGTTCGCCAGGTAAGTGTCTAACTGTGTTGTTGGCCTGACTGGTCGTGCTTCTATTTAAAGCTTTCGTGACTGCAAGGATTCATCTTCTTTGGTTCTTTCGGTAAAGTCATGTAGAATGAGACTAAAATAATAAATTGATAAAATAAAATAACACAATAATATTCTCACGACGTTTCGGCCACAACGCAAGCGGCCGTCTTCAGGTGAAAGGTACGGACCCGTCGGGACGACAGAGCTTCAATGAACGATGTTAAGATTCGTAGCGACTTCTCCCAACCAGCTTAAAAGTCGCTACGAATCTTAACATCGTTTATTGAAGCTCTGTCGTCCCGACAGGTCCGTACCTTTCACCTGAAGACGGCCGCTTGCGTTGTGGCCGAAACGTCGTGAGAATTTTATCGTGTTATTTTATTATTTTATTCTCATTCTACCTGGTGACTTTACCGAAAGAACCAAGAAGATGGTTGTGCTTCGCGTGATTTTTTTTCTTAGCTGTGTTGAATTCTCGTCTCTCATCTTCTTGTTGTATTTACCTCCGTGATTTGTTACTTTTTACACCTGATCAAGATCGCTTGTGTTGCCGTTCGAAGTCGTTTTAAGAAACCACAAAACCTATTTTTACTTCACTATCAGGGTGTAAGGGCCCGGCAGAGCTGCTGTGAAGCTCTTTCATCAGACACGACCTGGCCATCACGTAATGAGAGCAGCTCAACCAAGTGGCTGATATCATCATGTGCATCATCAGCAGCAGCATCATCATCATCGCATGGACATTTATCACAGCAGCCAAACACTCTAAACACGTGTTTCAACAGGCCCATAGAGACCCATACAGACCCACAGAGACCCATACTGACCCACAGAGACCCATACTGACCCACAGAGACCCATACTCATAGAGATCCATACAGACCCACAGAGACCCATACTCATAGAGACACATACAGACACACAGAGACCCATACAGACCCATACTCATAGAGACCCATACACACCCAGAGACCCATACTCATAGAGACCCATACAGACCTACAGAGACCCATACTCATAGAGACACATACAGACCTACAGAGACCCATACTCAGAGACACATACAGACACACAGAGACCCATACTCATAGAGACACATACAGACCTACAGAGACCCATACTCATAGAGACCCATAGACCCACAGAGACCCATACTCATAGAGACACATACAGACACACAGAGACCCATACTCATAGAGACCCATACACACCCAGAGACCCATACTCATAGAGACCCATACAGACCTACAGAGACCCATACTCATAGAGACCCATAGACCCACAGAGACCCATACTCATAGAGACACATACAGAGACCCATACTCATAGAGACCCACAGAGACCCATACTCATAGAGACCCACACAGAGACCCATACTCATAGAGACCCATACTCATAGAGACCCACAGAGACCCATACTCATAGAGACTCACACAGAGACCCACAGAGACCCATGCTCATAGAGACCCACACACAGAGACCCACAGACGGACGGGGCCCACGGTCGACCCCCCCGCGGGTCGACCGTGGGCCCCGGGGGTGGCCGCCTCCGCGCCAGCCGAGCGAGCGCCCCGGCGGGAGGTGGCCACCACCGCGGCCCGCCCCCCGCTCACCGGCTTGATGTCCGCTGTGGACGACGCCCCGCCCCTTGGCGTACAGCAGGAAGTCGAGGATGGCCCCGGTGTACTCCCTCAGACGCCTCGGGTAGATCCGCCCGGCGCTCCCTTTTCTCACGACGTCTTTGAGGCTCCTCCTGAGGCCACAACGACAACAACGACGACGTTAAATAAAAACCCCTTTGCCGTTCCGATGACGTCCGCAGGGCCCCAAACGGACTGTACCACTTGGTTAGTTTCGCGGGGGGGTTGGGGGGGGGTGGTGTAAAGCCTCGTCGCTCCGCCGGTGTTCATCCGCGGCCTCGCCACGCCCCACTGCTTGCGCTGACGGAGCCAACGCCCACAAAACGACGTTGAGTATTTTACGACGGTGATTTTGTTAAATTTCTATTTGAAGCTTTCGTGACTGGCAGTGATTCATATTGTTGGTTCTTTCGGTAAAGTGACGTCGTGAGAGTTTTATTGTTTTACGTGTATATATATTTTTATAGTTTTTATTGTTTCCCTTTCAACGTGGTGACTTTACCGAAAGAACCAAGAATATAATGATTTAATGATTTTATTGTAATTTCAACTATTTTATAATTTTTTTTATTTAAAGCTTTCATGACTGCAGTAATTCATATTCTTAGTTCTTTCGGTAAAGTCACGTTGAAGGGAAACAATAAAATAATAAAATATATATAAAACAATTAAAAAATTTTTTTTAATACAATTATTTTTATACAATATTTTTTATTGTTTTACGTATATTTTATTATTTTATTGTTTCCCTTCAACGTGACTTTACCGAAAGAACTAAGAATAATTTATTATTTTGTCACCATCGTTTTATCGCTACGATTTCATCGCAATTTAATCAACGCATTATTTTCATTATTGCTTTATTATCAGCGTTTCACGATTTTGATTTCTACGAGCGGTATATTTTTATTTCATCACAATATCCTCGTTGCTGTTTTACAATTGTTCCGTCATTTTATTACCATCTTATCACGCGTTATTTTTTTGTGTTGCATCATTACCCACCTATTAATAATGTATCATTTCATAATTTTCTCACTAACCTTTCAGTGGAAATATTTTATTACTATATTATATATATTTTAAAAAAAATTTGAACGTGTAATTCGTGGGGAGCGTTTCCGTTGAATCGCGAGGACTTCCTGCGTCCATCTAAACAAACTGTCAAATCGCTCTCCGTGGTGCTAACGTTTAAAAATAAATAAACACAAAGCACCACTCCTTTAAAATGTTTCTTGCCGTTGGATTTCGCACCTGATGATGACTGCTTGCGTTGCGGTCGAAACGTCGTGGGAATTTTATTGTTTATATATATTTGATTATTTTCATTGTTTCCCTATGTAATTATTATTCTTGGTTCTTTCGGTTAAAGTCACCGCCACGTAGATACGTAAATACATGGTGGTGACTTTAACCGAAAGAACCAAGAATAATAATTTTATTGTTTTACAATAATTTTATTGTTTTACAATAATTTTATTGTTTTATATATTTTATATATTTTATTATTCCCCTATCTACGTGGCGGTGACTTTACCGAAAGAACCAAGAATAATAATTTAATTGTTTTACAATAATTTTATTGTTTTATATTTTTATTATTTTATTGTTTCCCTATCTACGTGACGGCGGTGGCTTTACCGAAAGAACCAAGAATAATAATTTTATTGTTTTATATTTTTATTATTTTTTTGTTTCCCTATCTACGTGGCGGTGACTTTACCGAAACAACCAATAATATGAATAGCTGCAGTCGCGAAAGCTTTAAATAGAAAAATAAAAATAGTTTATAGTTTAGTGATTTTTCGATTTAAAGCTTTCGTGACTGCAGGGATTCATATTCTTGGTTCTTTTGGTAAAGTCACCACGTAGTAGAAGGGAAACAATAAAATAATAAAAATATAAAACAATAAAATTATTGTAAAACAATAAAATTATTATTCTTGGTTCTTTCGGTAAAGTCACCACCACGTAGATAGGGAAACAAGAAAATAATAAAAATATAAAACAATTAAATTATTGTAAAACAATAAAATTATTATTCTTGGTTCTTTCGGTAAAGTCACCCCCGCGTAGTAGAAGGAAAACAATAAAATAATAAAAATATAAAACAATAAAATAATAAACAAAAACATGTAACGTACACTACACTATACACTACACTATACACTACACTACTACACACTACACTTTACACTACACACTACTATACACTACACTATACACTACACTATACATTACACTCTACACTACTATACACTACACTACACTATACACTACACTATACACTACACTACTACACACTACACTTTACACTACACTACACACTACTATACACTACACTGTACACTACACTATACACTACTACACACTACACTACTACACACTACACTTTACACTACACTACACTGTACACTACACTATACACTGCACTACACACTACACTATACACTACACACTACTATACACTACACTATACACTACACACTACACTACACACTACACTATACACACTACACTTTACACTACACTATACACTACACTATACACTACACTTTACACTACACACTAGTTTCAGTTTCATTTATTTTGGTATAGCCCCGTGAGCCATCCGGCTCTTGAATCGGGTGCAACCGCAACAAACAAAAACCAAAACACGACCAAGAAAAACATCTTAAGGTGACTTTGTGTGTGTTGACTGTGCAAAACAGAAAATCCATGGGGAAAAAACAGCAAAAATATTCCAGAAAAAGCACCGTGCACACCACCAACGCTGCGTGCAAAAATCCCAGTGTGGGATGCAAAGTCAAACAACAACCACAAGACAACTTTAGATTAAGGCCGTCAGTCTAACGCCGTACTACAACAAAACAAACATGTCCAAACCAAAAAAAACGTTTACAAAATCACCAAAATAAAGTCATAAAAGCAATGTAACAGTGATCATAGAAACTGTGACCGAATTTTTTTACAATAAACTACATAAACAACATGTACCACCAAACCCTAGAGCCATAGCTGGCTGCATGAGTCACTCCACAATAGCAGGAGCATCGGTCGGAGTATCACATTTTAAAATGCACCTTTAAGATCAGCGCGCTAAATCAAAATACAGATAATACTTTGCAGCGGTCATCCGGAGCGAAACATTTTATTTTATTTTAGGCCACTGAATAGCAGTGGCAGCTAGGGGTGTACAACTCCTCTAGAGCAGTTTTGAGTGAAGATCTCATAAGCAGTGATTCAAGTTGCAGTTTATTGGCAGGGCCTTTGCATCGATAGCAAAGGCCCTTCCTCCAGTATTTGCACGGCAATAGGGAATGTGAAAGCTGGTAAATGAGCGAAGACCTTAGGTCAAATTTGTTCTTTGAAGCAGAGAGGAGATCCAGCAGGTAGTCTGCGGATTTTTTCGTAAGTACATCGTGAATGAATAATATCTGGTGCACAATCCGTCGAACATTAAGAGATGTTCAGTTTGACCCAATGTAGAGATCACAGTGGTGAGTCCTATACGGGCAGTTCAATGTCAATCTTAAGGCCGAGTGATAGATGGAATCAAGCTTCTTCAGTACAGTACTTGGGGCTGATTTATACACGATGTCACAGTAGTCAAGTAGAGGCGGTATGGTAGCTTTCATCAATTCCAAACGGAACATTGGCGGGTAAGCAGTGCCTGTGTCGATACAGAAAACCAATCTTTTATTTTTGTCTTTTTACCAATATAATCAATGTGCCCTTCAAAATTCAGTCTTGAATCCAGGATGACCCCAACGAATTGCCACGTTCTGTCTGCGTGACAACAAGCTGTAAACGTTGTGGGTTCACTCTTCAACACACCGGTGGGCTAAAGCAGTGAACGAATTTTGCCTTTTGTCAACGTGACACTTTATTTTTGCCGATTGGCCGTGTCGGGTGGTGGAGGGTTAACGACACGTTTTATAAATAACGGCGATCTAATCCACAAAAAAACCTTCATCACTGAACCCTTACTAGTCGGCCGTGTCGGGTGGTGGCGGATTTCACGACACGACATTGATGCATTTACGCGATCCAACCCCCCCCAAAAAACAAACCAAACCTATTAAGGATGACATTGGTCGCGACAGCCCTGCGAGTGAAACTCATTCAAAGTGATAAATCGACGAATTGAGTTGCTTGATTAACCGTTAAATCAATATTAATTCCGAAATAAAGAAACCATCGAGCGGAGCAATGGACACGCACGTGGGTGGGCGGGGTGGGTGGGTGTGTGGGTGGGGTGGGTGGGGTGGGTGGGTGGGTGGGGGTAAGCGGAGGTTCGCGTACTTCAAGAGCTCGACGACGAGGCAATTGTGTCCGCGGAATTGGAACGTGTCGAGGACCCGGATGACTCCGTAGCGCTCATCGCTGGCCCTGCCCTGCAGCTCCTTGGCCATCTTCAGCTCCCTTCTCTGGCAGGCCGCTATCGAGGGGCTGTGGAGCGGGAGGTGGAAGGTCGCGAAATCGATGACGGTGACTCTGCGTGGGTGACTCTGTGTGGGTGACTCTGTGTGGGTGACTCTGCGTGGGTGACTCTGTGTGGGTGTCTCTGTGTGGGTGTCTCTGCGTTGGTGACTCTGTGTGGGTGTCTCTGTGGGTGTCTCTGTGTGGGTCCGGGTGTCTCTGTGGGTCCGGGTGTCTCTGTGGGTCTGGGTGTCTCTGTAGCTCCCTGTGGGTCTCTGTGTGGGTATCTTTGTGTGGGTATCTCTGTGTGGGTCTGGGTGTCTCTGTGGGTGTCTCTGTGTGGGTGTCTCTGTGGGTATCTCTGTGTGGGTGTCTCTGTGGGTCTCCATAGGTCTGTTGGTTACACTTCACGTAGCCTCAAGGTGCACATGGCCTGGCAGAAGCAACGTGGTGACGTCACCGCCACCTAGTGGCCAATGGCGATTGTTGTTAGTTTGTAGTTAGCAATAGTGGTACGGCAGTTATTATTCTGTTGGTTAACTTTGATTCACAGCAGTAGTCTTACGGCAGGTTATTATTTAGTGAGTTAGTTGATATTTAGCAGTAAGTTTTACGGTGGTAAAATTTTGTTTGTGAGTTTTATAGTTAGCAGCAGTTTTACTGCAGTTAGTATTTTGTTAGTTTATAGTTA